AAGCAGGCAGTCGGTACAGTGAGCACTACCCTCTGGGATGGCAGAGGAGGATTTATTTCAGTGAAAAAACCTTCAGTAGCAAATGAGTAGAATTGTGTTAAATAATATATTGTATTTATTGACTGCACTACTCATTGCCAAATATGTACATATTTTATCCTTATTTTATTTTTGATTGTATTTGAATGTGCACTCACCGGCCACTTTATTAGGTACAGCTCACTAGTACAGGGTTGGACCCCCTTTTGCGTTCAGGACTGCCTTTATCCTTCGTGGCATAGATTCAACAAGGTATTGGAAATATTCCTCAGAGATTTTGGTCCATATCGACATGAAAATTATGCAGTTGCTGCAGATTTGACGGGTTTGACATCCATGATGTGAATCTCCCGTTCCACCACGTCCTAAAGATGCTCTATTAGATTGAGAGCTGGTGACTGTAGAGGCCATTTAAGTACAGTAAACTCATTGCCATGTTCAAGAAACCAGATGATTCGTGCTTTATGACATGGAGTGTTATCCTGCTCATATCCGGTCATAAAGGGATGGACATGGTCAGCAACAGCACTCAGGTAGGCTGTGGCTTTGACACGATGCTCAATTGGTAATAAAGGGCCCAAAGTGTGCCAAGACCACCAGCCTCAACCACTGATACAAAGCAGGACGGATCCATGCTTTCATGTTATTGATGCCAAATTCTGACCCCATCATTTGAATGTCGCAGAAGAAATAAAGACTTAACAGACCAGGCAACGTTTTGCAATTTTCTATTGTCCAATTTTGGTGAGCCTGTGCGAATTGTAGCCTCAGTTACCTGTTCTTAGCTGACAGTAGTTGCACCCGGTGTGGTGTGGTGTGGTAGCCCATCTGCCTCGACGTTGGACATGTTGTACATTCAGAAATGCTCTTCTGCAAGACTCAATTGTAACAAGTGCTTATTTGAGTTACTGTAGCCTTTCTATCAGCTCGAGCCAGACTGGCCATTCTCCTCTGACATCAACAATGCATTCACGTCCACAGAACTGCCACTCACTGTGTGTTTTCTCTTTTGCTGACCATTCCCTGTAAACCCTTGAGATGGTTGTGCATGAAAATCCCAGTAGATCAGCAGTTTCTGAAATACTTAGACATGCCCGTCTGCACCAACAGCCATGCCACGTTCAAAGTCACTTAATTCACCTTTCTTCCCCATTCTGATGCTCGGTTTGAACTGCAGCAGATTGTCACGACCATGTCTACCTGCCTAAATGCACTGAGTTGCTGCTATGTGCAAGGCTGATTAGAAATTTGCGTTACCATGCAGTTGGAGAGGTGTACCTAATAAAGTGGCCGGTGAGTGCATGAATCTCTCCATTCATCAATCTGAATCCAGCCCACTTATTTTTCACCAAAAAAAACAACAACAACAAAAAAAAAAAAACAATCTTTTACTTTAGCTTTGTTAAACTAGCCCAATTAATCTAACAATGACAATATCTGAATATTTAATTTCTGTACTGTATGTCCAGTTTTATTTGGGGGAAATACGAAGATCCTTCTAACATCTATAACAAAATTTAAAATTTTTCAAGTATTATACTAAACATTGAAACAATATGTGCATTTTTAAAACTGACAAAAATATGGAACTGCATCTGTATTAATACTAATGCAAAATCAGCCCAATTATTCTCATTATAAAACATTTTAGTGGATTTAAAATGTCAAAGTTAAATTTTTTATTTGCAAAAAGCAAAGCAAATCCATCTCACATCTACGGGAAAATGCATCTACATGAACGTTTATGTAAATCAGCTTAGCCCATTTTGACGTCAACAATTTTCCTTGACTTTTAAAATCATATATGTTGACATGTGCACATTTGATTTGCATTTTATTTGCAAAAAAAGAAGAAAATATATGAAATCAGCCCACACATTTTGACTGCATGGCACAAAAAAGATGACACAGTGTTCTGGTAAACAGCACATGGAGAAGCATCCGATCTGTTGAATACTCAAATGAAGCATCAACCAGCCACCCCCAACCAATTTTACGCCACTTGGAACCTTCTATACACCAGCAGAATCTTAATCAACAGAGGTTACTGCAGATCATGCCGCTTTAATTGATAGCTAGGGATGCCAGCTGAATTTCAAGCTTAGTAGGTGATAGTATCACATCATCGGAAATGAGTGATACCTCATTATTTCAGGATATCAGCAGGAGAAAGTAGATGTACAGAAAAGAGATTAAAATGCAATGCAAAATTAATGACGGCACGCAGAGGGTTCTCCCGAAGAGACTTACATAAATAACACTAAAAAAATCACTCTCCTAATCAGTGTTTTTGGCTTGCTTCCACATTCAAATACCCTTTAAACAAGATATATGTAAATGAGAAACAAAACTGCATAAGATATTAAGAGTTTTTCAGAAAATATAGCTAAAATCAAGTTTTTCCATCTTCTCAGACATCCTTTTTAGTACATATTTCCATAAACTTTGTCAGATTTATGCTTCAAGCAGGAAAAACATTTGCCAGGAAGGTTATTTGTGTAAATTCAAGATGATACATGCATTAAGCTTTTTTTTCCTTTGCAAAATATGTATCTATTTTAAGAATACTTGGATGTAGTTTCACTGGAATGCAACACATAAATGAAGAGTTTGGATGCAAAAACCTCTAAATGCCATCTAAAAATTTCCCTCTAAAATGAGCATTTTTATGAGGCTCCTGTGTATGTCCTTTACCTGGTCTTTGAAGTAAAATATCTTAAAATTGACAAAGAAGGAAGAGAAAAACGTTCATTTTTAATGGAAATTTGAGATGGCACTTAGAGATTTTTGCATCTGATCTCTTCAAATACATTTTAAAAAATCATGATGTGTTTATTTATGTACAGTTAAAGTCAGAATTTTTAGCCCCCCTGTTTATTTTTCCCCCAATTTGTGTTTAACAGAGAGAAGGTTTCTTCAACACATTTCTAAAAATAATAGTTTTAATAACTCATTTCTAATAACTGATTTATTTTATCTTTGTCATGATGACAGTAAATAATATTTGACTAGATATTTTTCAAGACACTTCTATACAGCTTAAAGTGACATTTAAAGGCTTAAATATGTTAATTAGGTTAACTAGGCAGGTCAGGGTAATTAGGCAAGTTATTGTATAATGATGGTTTGTTCTATAGACTATCGAAAAAAAATTGCTTTAGGGGGCTAATAATTTTGTCCCTAAAAAGGTGTTTAAAAAATTTAAAATAAATAAAACTGATAAGACTTTCTCCTGAAAAAAAAAAAAAAAAAAAAAAAAAAAAAAAAAAATATATATATATATATATATATATATATATATATATATATATATATATATATATATATATATATATATATATATATATATTATCAAACATACTGTGAAAATGTCCTTGCTCTCTTAAACATAATTTGGGAAATATTTAAAAAAGAAAAAAAAAAGAAAAATTCAAAGGGGCTATTAATTCTGACTTTAACTGTATGTATTGCTATGTATTGGAGTTCAAGTGATCATAAATTATTGATTAATGCTGAAAATAACCATTTCTGTGACATAAGGTATTTCAGTGCAGTTATCATAAGGAGTCAAAAAGTTAAAAAAAAAGATTGTGTTTTACATCCACACAACTTCCCTAAGTTATTCATTTAGAAAGACTGCTATGCCATTCTATAGAGGACGAAACCTGCAAAAACAGTAAATAAATCCATAAATCCCTGCATATATAAAATAATAAATAAATAAATATACAAATAAATAAATGTATATAAAAATCCATAAATTCCTGCATAAATAAATCTACAAATAATTTAATAGTGTGGGCAGGTTAATAAATAAATAAATTGCACTAATAGTGGGGCCCTTTCAAACATTTATTCATTCTTGAACATAGTTTTGTATTTACTTTTTCTCTCAACATGTTAATGAGAGGGTATCTGTCAATCCTCAGAAGCCAATCAAAAAATTCGAATGCAAATTTTTTCTAACGATCAACCAATGATGACACCCTCTTGTTAGCATGTTAAGCTGAGGAAAAGTAATTATGCAATACATTGTATACGCATTTTCTTAATCCCCCAACATTTGTGTAATGTATTTAATTATTTAGCACACTATTAATGAATTTATTTATGCAGAGATTTGTGGATTTTATATACATTTATGTATTTATTTGCATATTTATTATTTATTGTTTAATTTATGCATGAATTTGTTATTTTTTTTCGTCCTCCATATGTTTTAGTTAGATTTAACTCAACTGATCTAAATAAATCTTTTTTAGGTGTATTCCATTTCCCTTTAGTGGTGTAAAGCAGGGGCTGAAGAAAGAAATGGTAATGTTTATGAAAATGAATTTCCAAAGCAACATTCAGCATCCAACAAATTGAATGAGCTCCAAAAGGGCAGTAAAAGTCAGTGGCCAAATTTTCAGAGCATCTGTTACCAAAACTGCTAAACAATTTCATCCGTCAAGGGGTCAAAGTCTAAATAATAATGACAGCATATGGCAAAACTGAATAAACTGCTTCAGAAAAGTGGTATGGTACTCAAAGCTCATCCTCTGTGGAATATATAGTTGCTAAATAACAAGAATGCAAGGGCTTAAATATATACATTTTCATTTTTGGGGGGTGAATATCCCTTTAAATGCGTGCCACATTTGCAAAAAAAATAAATCTTAGCACATGTATGATTAGTAGGTGTGCCAGACTCTCCCTTAAAATAATCTCATTGAATATGAACTTGCATGAACCAACACGAATGGAGCTGTTCAAATTTGTTTGTTCTTCACATGCAGAGACGTTGTTCACGTTAAGTCTGATTCACAGCTCTGATAAATGCATGTATTCTGCAGTATTTCAGATCTCTAGACAATAATAAATTTGAGTATTTTCAGTCCCTCCCATAACCTTTTATGTAACCAGAACCATATCCTGTAAAACTGTCATGTAAACTCAAACACAACAGGGGGGAGGCGCCCCGCGGCTCTTTCAGTAAAAACAGGAAATTTTTTGGGTTACCGGACGAAGAACAAAAAACGTAACGCGATGTTCTTTGATATGAGAAGAAAACCTTTAAATAGTCTGTAGTTTGGTTCACTCAGTAAAATAAAACCCGGGCAGCACGGAGTTGTTTGGACGTTGTCGAAGTTTTTATTGGGATATTTCCCATCTCTGGTGAGTTGTTGTATCGCATGTCGTATTTTTATGCCTATATAAGAGCAATGGGACTTTGAATAGTGGCTTATAATCTAAATATATTATGTTCTTTTCAAATCAGTGTTTTATGCTTGTCTTGGGTCTTGCAAGGTGTTAATATTTCTTTAAAGTGCGCCGCTTTGGGGTTTAGCTTGCTAACGCATCGATGTTTTTGAATGAATCTTTGTATTGACCGAATCGTTAATCTCGCGCTCTTTTGTTCGCCTTCGGCTTTTTTTCTGCTTTCCAGTAATACTTCCCGCGAATATTACATTAACTGTTTTGTTCAGCACTGCCTGGAGCGCTTTATGCTGCGTTATAATCGCATCTATTCACCCTATGTAGTAGCCTATGGAAGTCTAAACTAAATTTGAATACTATTTAGGGGTGGAGCATGTAACTGTCTTTAGGAACACTCCCACTGAACGATTCTGTCCTGAACAAAGATTAATGAACGAAGGTCACGTTATTAGTTTGTGAATCAATAAGTTCCAATAAGTGAGGAAATGGGAGGCAAATGTCCTTTACAGGTATGAAAACAAACCTTCACTGTCACAGTATTCAGATAGAGTTTACACAACTTGGTGTAGAAACTATGTGCTCATAGTTCTTTTGGTTTCTGAAACAGAGACCGCACATTTAGGTCATGGTTTGCTCAGGATGTACATAATTTTTTTAAAAGATACATCGTTAAATTTTATTGTGTATATTTTGTGACTGAACTTGCATTACATCAAAAACTATGTTTTGTGCTGAACTGAAACTACATTTTATGCTGTAATTGTACTTTTGTTAGCAGAAAGCCGCTGTCATACATGCAAACTTTATACTCAATTCAATTAAATGTAATTCATGTTTATTTCTATAGCGCTTGCACAATATGTGTCAAAGCAGCTTAACATAGAAGTTCTAGTAAACTAAATGTGTGTCAGTCCAGTTTTCAGAGTTGAAGTTCAGTTTGGTTCAGTTCAGTGTGGTTTAATTTTCACTGCTGAAAGTCCAAACACTGAAGAGCAAATCTATCGATGCGCAGCTCCACAAGTCCCAAACCAATTAAGCCAGTAGTGACAGTGGCGAGGAACAAACATTTCCAACTATGATAAAAATAAAACATATCTTTGTTATGGTTAAAGTATCCTTTTTTGGTGTATTGATAGACCAGTTTTTTTACAAATGCAATTCTTAAACTATGGTTAGCTCAGCAAAACCAATAACCATGTTTTTAGATTTTATTTGTAGTAGGACCATGCTAATTTTCATATGGCGACAGCTGTATTGGCTGTAATGAGCATCATAAATTGATCCTTTTCACAAGTCTGTTATGACGTGTTTAACAATTATCAGCATCTTAAATACTTGAAAGTTTTTAATTTGTTGATTTTTTTAAAAACGTATGAACATTATGTATTTATATGTGTATTATATTATCTTCAAATTACAAAAAAACGAATGACGCTTGTGTGAGGTGTTTGTAATGCAGCGTCTATGGGACAGGACAACAAATTTGACGTTATTCTCTCCTCTGGCCGCAGTCATCAGTCTCACACATCTTTTCTTCTTTTTCTGAAAGTCTTTATAACATCATTGTGGAGTTTTTCTTTTATTTTTCGAGCAAATAAGATTGTAAAGAAAAATATTTGTTGTGTTCTCCCATTCACTGTGCTTTACGTTTTCCCAACTATGACGACTTCTGCTCCTGAGAAACCAGGAAATGTGGAAAGGGCCTATCCGCTTGTTAAGTGTGACGTCACGCGGAGTGGCTTTTGGGTCCAAGCGCTGTATTCAACTGAATGAGGAGACTCATAAAATAGTAATAATAAACGTTTACAAAGCGATTTAATACTTTCGAAAGTCACGATCGCAATATATATGTCCATGCCTAATATGCGATGGCCAGAAAGTGATTCATTGTTTTATAATTTGTTAAAATGTTGGTATTTGTTATGCAGCAAGCCCAGAGATTGTTGTGTACACTATGACTTTATGTAAAATTAACTTTAACGTGTGATAGGAATAAAAAGTGATCATAAACGAATGATTTCTCCACTCAAGTGAATAGCGGCTTGGACCCGGAAACAGTATTACATACGTCACAAACACGTCATCACGTCATCAAGCGGATAATAAAAACAACAACAACAACAAAAACAAAAAAACACTTTTTAGGGGTTGCATCTTATTACAGTATGTGCTGGTTTTGGTATAGATGACTTTCGATGTGTTGCATTTAAAATTTCCCCAGAACTGCACCAAGGATCACTGCACAAGGCTAAGATGGCAGTGATTGGCGTGACCCATGGCCAGGGCCGAACGGAATCTGCGGATGTTTTTTGCTATTTCTGCTGAGAACTTTGGTAAAAATCTGCGGATTTCTGTGGAATTATTTTGGGAGTATCATAACTAAAACCTTAATATATGAAATAAAAAGTAATACCTTTTTAACTTTTATTTAATGTTTAAAATGCAAATCCAACTAGATTCACTTCATTTGGTAAACAAAGCAAATCTCTCACATAATATCTCTACTAAAAGACAGAAAATATTACTTAAACAGTGTTGTACATAAATCAGATGAACATTTTCATATTAGTCAATAATATTTGCTGTAATTAATTAAAAAACTAAATAAATTTAGATTTACACATTTACTCAAGTTATTAAACAGAATTAATGATGGGCTAAAAATTAGCAAAAATCTGCGGAGTTTTGCGGAAAATAAGCGAAACTCTGCGCGCAGATTCTGTGTGGGCCTACCCATGGCACATGCCTTGCACATAGCCATGCATTTTATACTTCTGCGTGCTGTTTGTGTTGCTCTGCAATAACACTTCCTTTTTTCTGAACGCACGTACAAGTCGACCGGTGCAACAACTTTAATCATAAGGTAAAAACAAAGCAAAAGTTTCCAACTGGAGTAGGGCTGCAACAACTAATCGATTAAATCAATAAAAGTCCATTACTAAAACCCTTGGCAACAAATTTCATAATCGATTCGCTGTGTTGCGCAACACAAGGACATTTGTATATATATATATATATATATATATATATATATATATATATAAAAAAACATTTTAGTTGAGCGTGAGCGGAGTGAACACGGTCTCACTCGCACACTGATACAGAGTCCAGCACCTCATAGACAGGGAGGACCGTAAAGTCCCTGGTGCTGGTGTTTTTACTTGTTATCCAACTTGACAAGTTAGCGTTAGCTCGTTAACCCTTAGAGCGGCAACTGAAAAATTCAAACTGAGATTTGGTGCCTTGTCTGGCGCTGAACCAAAGAAAGACGTGTCATATTATCCCATGTGTTATGCAGTGTTTTACCCTCTTAAAGCTTATTTTATGTTTTGACATGTAAATACACAACAGATTAATTGATTTTTAAAATAATTGTTTGTTGCAGCCCTAGTCTGGAGCTCCTTCACGGGACTCAACACTTGTAAACACTCGCTCCATCAGACTCGCGGCTCTCAGCAACGCCCACGCTCGGCACAGCTACAAAGCCTACCAATCACAGAGCTTGCGCTACGCATTGCTGCAACTTGTGTACATACATTTTTTGAGGGGTGCACATCAGCGTCAGCCACGGAAAAGGCTATGCGACCAATCGATGGCTACGCTAGACCATACATGTGCGCTTGACGCAGAAGAATAAATCAGCATTTAACACTTATTCAGATTAATCACATAAACAGAGATATTGTTCCAGAGATCCTTTAAAAAAGACACAGAGGCTCAGAACATCCAAAACAGGATCTGGAATTAAGGTGAAGCTCATATTTGTTTTATTTATTTACTATCAATGAAATATTTGATAGTCAATCTGTTGTTCTGTGTTTCTAATCAAACAGAATAATGACTAGAATAGAGTGTTTGTGTACAATACAAATGTAATTAATAAAAACCTAGTTGCGGAAATGGTTGGTTGCAGTGGCAGCTGGCACTTTTCAGAAACAAGGAGGCACAGATGTCTGCTATCAATGGCAAAAAGATTATTTGTACATATAATTTGATGTCAGTAATGCTTCTCTCCAAAGCAGCTGTCCAGATATCAGTTCTAAACAGCGAACTTAACCAAGATGGATTTTAGACACATTTTAAAATACTGAAGGTAATCATGGTTTACTCACTTCCTTGGCTGTGTGTTCTTCCAAAAATTGTTATAATAAAATTTAATCTGTATAGGTAAATACTTTGGTCTTTTGAAAACATGACCTTTAACATACATGCTGTTATGAGAGTGAACAGTCATGGCCAAAGGAGACTTACGTTACAACATTTATAGTGGTTTAGCATGCCATGTTTAGGGGTTTTATTCTGAGAGAAAATATTTGACAGCTTGGAGGATGAAACTCAAAAACGATTAATTATTTACCAATGTAAAATAGCATTCACACTGATTTTTTATTTTAATGGAGGATATTGTAAGCCAAAATGTTTGCTATCAATCCTTTACTTTCATCATCAACAATATATTATAGGAAGTATATTACAGTTAGATACTTGAAGTCATAAGCAGAAATAATTTTGACGTTTACAAAGGCTTGGGTGTTTCTTTCACATAATAGTGAAATAGGTTTACACATGCTGATGACATGGCAAAGTAGAGCAGAGCAATGTGAATATCATAGGTTAATTTCCCAGGAATCCATAATCTGATAACATTCATACCTGAATGTATTTGACAGCACAGGGCCAGAGATACTGTCGGGATGAAGTTCTGATACTGTACCAGTAACTTTGAATGGTAGCTCATTAACTAGACCTCTACATGGAAATGCTCTTTCCCCTTTAAAGACTGAATGAACCTTCACTCACATGATGTAGAAATTCAAGGTTCTTGTCATGCACACCGAGGCTGAAGGAGAGTGAGCTGTGCTTGAACTTCTTTGACTTAAGTTACATTCAACAAAGCTGACCAATTAAGTATTTTGCAGTCTACCTTTTCATAGGTAAGAACATGTTTCTTGGTTTGAGCACTGTATACGTAGCCTTTACATTTGACTATAATTCATTTCTCAGATATTAAGTCTGTCATTAAGCTATTTATACAAAAAACAAGCAGTATATTTGAATGTTATTTATATCCATCTTGAATAAACGTTATATTTTATTCATTGATTGCTTTCATTGAGATGATCACTCATGCATTCTCTATTCACTCCTGCTGTTCTGCTTTTCAGAGCACTTTGTGAATTCATTGCATTCAGTGGCGTAATATTCTTGAAAGTCTTTAAAGCTGTGGTTAACAGTGTAGATCACAGGTGTCAAACTCAGTTCCAAAAGGGCCGCATCTCTGCACAGTTTAGTTCCAACCCTAATTAAACACACTTGATCAAACTAATTGAGTCCTTCAGGCTTGTTTGAAACCTACAGGTAAGTGTGTTGGAGCAGGGTTGGAACTAAACTGTGCAGGGCTTCGGCCCTCCAGGAATTGAGTTTGACACCCCTGGTGTAGATGTTTCAAATGGTTTTTGAGGTCTGTCAATGAATCGCTCTTGTTCCCCTGCAGGCACCATGATTGGACAGATTTTTCAGCCCTGTGGACAAATCTTAATTGCACTTCTGCTAGTGACTGTTCCAACTGCTCAAAGTGAGAAGGTTCTTGTCTTTCCTGTGGATGGCAGTCACTGGGTCAACATGAACATCTTGGTTGAAGCTCTTCATGCCAAAGGTCACAATATTACAGTCATTCGGATGGCAGACAGCTGGTACATCAAAGAGTTCTCACCTCACTACACTTCAATAAATCTCAAGTCTGCAGGAGGATTCGATGAAGAATTTTTTGAGACATTTGCATTCAGACTAATGAAAATTGTGAGAGAAGGTTCCCGCTGGGGTCGTTTAAAACTGGAGATAGAGACATGGCAAAGTACTTATGAGATGATCGAAATAGAAAGTGAGATGATAAAGAATATGTTGGAAGACCAACCGCTTATGCAGACTTTTAGGGATGCCAAGTATGATTTGCTCCTTACAGATCCCCTTTTGTTTGGGGGTGTAATTTTGGGTCACTTTCTGAAGCTTCCCATTGTCTATAATGTCCGTTGGACAATGTATAATGAAGCTCATTTTGTCAGTGCTCCATCTCCACTTTCTTATGTTCCTTTTATGATGGTGGAATTATCAGACCGCATGAGCTTTTTTCAGAGAGTAAAGAATGTTGTGATGTTCACTGTAGCCGAAGCACAAGCAGCTTTGCTTTTTGCTCCATATTATAACGCACTCTGTGAACAGTTCATTGGTCCAGGAGTCTCATTCCTTTCCTTAGTTCAGGGAGCTGATCTGTGGCTTCATAGAGTTGATTTTATTTTTGAATATCCACGTCCCACTATGCCAAACATCATTTACATGGCAGGTTTTCAATGCAAGCCATCAAAGCCTCTCCCACAAGATCTGGAGGACTTTGTTCAGAGCTCTGGTGATCATGGTGTCATCATCATGTCTCTGGGGACTCTTGTTGGTCAGCTTCCTGATGATGTGGCTGAGGCAATTGCTGAAGCTTTTGCAGAACTTCCACAGAAGATCATCTGGAGGTACAAAGGAAAGAGACCGTCTGCACTAGGAAACAACACCCTAGTGATGGACTGGATGCCTCAGAATGATCTTCTGGGTCATCCCAAGACCAGAGCCTTTGTGGCACATGGAGGAACCAATGGAGTTCAAGAAGCCATCTACCACGGGGTGCCAATCATCGGATTTGGCCTGATTTTTGACCAACCTGACAATCTTGAAAAAATGAGAGTGAGAGGTGCAGCCAACAATGTAGACTTTGCCACAATGGATAAGGAGTCCTTCCTTAAAACGGTCAAAGAGGTACTCTATGATCCCTCTTATCGGGAGAACATGCAGAGACTCTCAAGGCTTCACAAGGATGTTCCAGTGAAGCCTCTGGACAACGCCATCTTCTGGATTGAGTTTGTTATGAGACACAAAGGTGCCGCTCACTTGCGCACAGAGTCGTACAAAATGCCCTGGTACTCTTATCACTCTGTTGATGTTATTCTGGTGCTGATTTCTGCTGTGTCACTCATAATCTTGACCATATATGCAGTTATCAGATATTTCTGCTGCAGAATATGCATGAGAACAACAAAAGTCAAACTTCAGTAAATTAGCTTTTTATCATTTAATTTTAATAAATTATGCTAATTCAACCATAATTCTAATGTATGTAATAATGAGTATTTAGAAGAACTGGCAAATGTGGTGTTGTGTTTTCAACAGCAGAAATAACTTTAAAAGGGTTTACTCCTACGTGTGTGTACATTAGTCACAACAACATAACACACTTTTGACAAGAGTAGACATGAATTTTCAAATTGCTCAGCCTGACTGGGTACCAGCTCTATGTGTTGCGATCCATTTTTTTAAGTCCACCAATGCCAATTTATTGACTGTAATAAAGGTTTACCTGATAGGTTTCCCATTATACACAGTAATGGGTCAGAATAATTGTCTTACACTGTAGCTTGCCTTGTGATTATTGAATTATTGTGGATGAAGTGTATTGTGGTTTGTACTGATGTGCAATATTCAAATGTTTCCATGAATAAATAAATAAAGATCCTCTATATATCTGACGTTTGCCTTTATATATTTTCTTAGTGCAAGTTTCAATCAATTTTGGCTGTGATTTGAAGCAACAGTACAAGAATGTATTTACAGAATTTCAGATACCTCGTACAACATATTCAGTAGTAGAAAAAAAAGCTTAATGCTTGGAATAAACACTTACATGATCATCTATTTACAATAATGCCTAATTCACATCTCCAAAAAAAATCTGTTTAAAGTCACCATATTTTCTTAATTTGAATTTATATGTTTTCTTTTCTTTGCGATAGGTACTATGAATGGACAGTGGTTTCAGGTGATATGGCCAATCACGTTAACTCTTCTGCTTCCATCTGTCCCAGTTGCTCAATGTGGGAAAGTTCTTGTCTTTCCTGTGGATGGCAGTCACTGGGTCAACATGAACATCTTGGTTGAAGCACTTTCTGCCAAAGGTCATGATGTTACAGTCATGAGGACGGCAAGCAGCTGCTACATAAAAGAATTCTCACCTCACTACACTTCAATAAACCTGAAGTCTAAAGGAGGATATAATAAAGAAGTCCTTGAACAATTTGCATCCAGAATAATGCACATACTGAGGGACGGTTCCACGTGGGGTCATCTGAAGCTGCAGGCAGATATGTGGCAAAGCTTTTTAAAGATTTTTGAAGCAGAACGTGAGATGATTGTCAACATGATCGAAGATCAGCAGCTTATGCAGTCTTTAAAAGATGCCAAGTATGATCTGATTCTTACAGACCCAAACATGTTTGGAGGGGTCATATTAGGTCACTATCTCAAACTGCCTATGGTCTACAATGTCCGTTGGGCAGGTTATAATGAAGCCCATTTTTCAATAGCTCCTTCTCCACTTTCTTATGTACCTATGCCATCACTGGAATTATCAGATCGCATGAGTTTTTTGCAAAGGGTATATAATGTAGTAATGTACATCTTTATTGAAATAGGGGCTGCTTTGGTGATTTCTCCAATTAATGATGCACTTGCTGAACGGTTCATTGGTCCAGGAACATCATTTCTTTCCTTAGTTCAGGGAGCTGATCTGTGGCTTCATAGAGTTGATTTTGTGTTTGAATATCCACGTCCCACTATGCCAAACGTCATCTACATGGCAGGTTTTCAATGCAAGCCATCAAAGCCTCTCCCACAAGATCTGGAGGATTTTGTTCAGAGCTCTGGTGATCATGGTGTCATCATCATGTCTCTGGGGACTTTGATTGATAAGCTTCCTGATGATGTGGCCGAGGCAATTGCTGAAGCCTTTGCAGAACTTCCACAGAAGATCATCTGGAGGTACAAAGGAAAGAGACCGTCTGCACTAGGAAACAACACTTTAATAATGGACTGGATGCCTCAGAATGATCTTCTGGGTCATCCCAAGACCAGAGCCTTTGTTGCACATGGAGGAACTAATGGAATTCAAGAAGCCATCTACCACGGGGTGCCAATCATTGGATTTGGCCTGATTTTTGACCAACCAGACAATCTTTCTAAAATGAGAGTGAGAGGTGCAGCCAAGAATGTAGACTTTGCCACAATGAATAAGGAGTCTTTCCTTACAACAGTCAAAGAGGTACTCTATGATCCCTCTTATCGGGAGAACATGCAGAGACTCTCAAGGCTTCACAAGGATGTTCCAGTGAAGCCTCTGGACAACGCCATCTTCTGGATTGAGTTTGTTATGAGACACAAAGGTGCCGCTCACTTGCGCACAGAGTCGTACAAAATGCCCTGGTACTCTTATCACTCTGTTGATGTTATTCTGGTGCTGATTTCTGCTGTGTCACTCATAATCTTGAGCATATATGCAGTTATCAGATATTTCTGCTGCAGGATATGCATGAGAAAAACAAAAATCAAACATGAATGACTTGGCCTTTTGAAAATTGTGTTCAGGTATAAAGCAAATTCAGGTCAGGCATTGCCTGTATGTTAATGACTAAATCTTTCAATCAATAATCTATTCATTTAATTTGGTGATCTGAAGGTTTTCAGTTCTGTAAAGATAAATCTGTATTTGCAATATAAATAATGTCAGATCTATCACCATAAACTTGTGTGCTTTTATTATTTATTTTTTTGTCTATTCCTTTTATCGTGTTACCATACCTTCCCTACAGTTTGCATTCTTGATTGTTAGTGTTTTTGTGTGTGACCTAAAGCTGTGCTACTATATTAATCTATTACTATTAGGTTGACTCAGAAAACAATCATATGTGAACAGGATCTTAACACCATAACCTGTTACAGTCAAAGCATAAGGTGTTTTAGTGTTGCTCTACAAAATGGTGCATGAAATAAAATGAGGATAGCATAAAATAATAACCAATCAGAGCTGCAGCAACTTTAGCCCATATTCATTAAAGTATGTTTGATATTGAAGTACTGTGTGTAATGTGTACTTAGTGCCATTCTCCATTATGAGGGCATGGAATAAAGTGGCTCAAGCACACAAAAAAATAGGGACCACCCCTTTTAATTAATAGCAATTGGAGTTAGGATCTTGAGGTGGGATATTGAAGTATGTGATGTGTACTATGTTTGATTCTCATTTAAAGGACTTTGATTCTCCTGTGTAAATCAAAGAATATTAAACCAAAGACTTAATTTGGAACCATGTTTGTGTAACCATATCAGTTCCAAGTTGTGGTACATCATGCTTATTATTCATTACAGCTGCAACAACACAAAACATGCAGTTAGCATACAGTAGTTTATTTCCTGAAAGATTGGTTTTCATAATCTGTTTTCTCAAAGAGTGCTCAAGCCTAGACTTCCTGTTTTTTCCCCCATAGAATGTACTAAATCGTCTAATTGTAATGTAATATAATATGAAGCGGATTTGCTATTTTGGTGGTACAGGTACCCAACTAGTCAAAGACAAAAGATATTATACATATAACCTTATATGGTAGTTTATTAACTAAGGTTTTGCAGGTAAATGCACTTTGCCCTGTTGAAGACTGTTAAATGAACATATCAGCATGCATAATGAGGCCAGAGGAGAATAAATACTTGTAGTTTTGTGAATTATGCTACACTCAAGGTTAACCTGGTAATGACTTGCATCCCACCTGTACATATTAATGGGTAAGAATATATTGTTTTATGATAAACATAGGGATCACAAAGAACAATGTTACTTAGTAATACTTTATACAGTATGCTTGCTGTTTTTACATCAGTTTTCAATGATATTTCCCTTGCTTGTTGTTGAAATATTCTCGTTTTGCAGGTTTGAATGCCATCACAACCAAGGTGAGTACTGAATTTGCATTTCTTCATCAAATATATTAAACTTTTTTTTTTTTTTACAACTGAGAACTAAAGAAGCAATCAAATCATCAAAAAAGAGCAAAAAATTGTTGTGATAATTTCCATATAGGCACGTAGCAAGTTGAAATTAACCAGATGAAACAGATGAAAGCAATACATGCTCCAAAATCTATTCAAATATCCAACATGTTTGAAATCCTCTGATTGGATAGACAAAACTAATCTGTGTCCGATTGTTTATTGTATTCAATCTGACAATTCTGACTGCCCAATGACTTTCTTAAAATCTTCATTCAGGTTATAAGGAACTTCTGGTCATGCATGTCCTATATATTAATGATAACCAAATACTGTAATTGAAAATATATTGCTGATTTATTTTGTGTGTTATATATTGTTATTGTTTTAAAATCTCTTCTTTGTTTCAAATATGGCATGAGCTCTGATATTATCATCATTTAGGTTTCCCCCTTCTTTTACTCTGTAATTTTTTCTCCATTCCAATATATTTGAAATAGGCAATTTGGACATATTGGCAGAAAAAAACTATCAAACAAACAAAATGGGGGACAGCTGTGCTTTTGTATTCTAGTATAATATTGCATAAAAACTAAAATGACTCAAGCTAAATTATAATCTATATCATTTGATCTCAACTGGTTTGGCCATGGGAACAACATTTTACCATGGTCATTAAGTTGTGACCTCCCCCCTTCCTCTTTATACAGTACATATCTTGCATAGTTTTATATGAACTGAAAAAAAATGTAATTTGGGATCTCCAAAAAGTCATTCTTGTCTTTCATATAATTTACATTTTATTTTATTTTAATATATTGTAGAGCTGAAGTACGGGCCATTTAACGGTCTTCCTTCCATTGAGCTATTAATGTAAACACCCGGACTAAATTACACATACAATCCTATATGGTAGCTTATTAACTAGGGCTTTGCAGGTAAACACACTTTGCCCTGTTAAAGACTATTAAATGAGCATATCAGCATGCACAACCAGGCCAAAGGAGAGTATCTGCTTAAACAGTAGTTCATGACTACACTCAAAGCTGATTTTGCATGCTGCATATTTCTGGGTAAGAACAAATATATTTTTATTATGGACAGCATCGGCAGGAACAATGCCAATTAGATTTTTATTTGACAGTTGTCTTACTAAAGCTGTTTTTATGCTTTTAAAGTACGTTTTTTGTTTTTACTCTCTCCTCTATGTCTTTCTCTCTTTCAGGTTTAAAGGCTATCTAACTAACGCAAACCAGGTGAGTACCTGCTCTTGGTTACTAATTTTGATCTTCATTGCTTTTTTTTTTTTAATTATATAGGAGAGTCCAACACAATCTCACGGCAATTCGTAACTTTTTAATTTAGTGGCTAATTCGTATAAATTCGTACGATCTAATTCGTACAATTTAGTACGATTTGCTTATCCCCCAATGATGGTTGGGGTTAGGGGTGGGGTCAGGTGCCACGCCTCCTTTTTAAAATCGTACCATTTCGTACGACTGAACTCGTATGAATTAGCCACTAAACTGGCAAAACGTAAAATACTTACATTTTCTCGTGAGATCAGGCTGGAGAGTCAGCTTAAGACTAGATTGCACTGACTTTTAATATCTGAACCCATTATAAAACACTTGTTTTTAAGCTGTTACAACAAGGTGTTACCAATTGTTTCAAGTTGCTATGAACACAACAAACTTAATCAGAAATGTGAGACTTGTTGCATGACAAAGGAAACGAATGTGTTAGAAAATCAGACCAAGGTAGCCTAGTTGATATTGTCCGGCTGAATAAAAATCTGAAATCTGAAGCTAAAAATTCTGAGTCTGTTAGTTCCTACATGATTTTTCAGATCATTTTAAATTATTGACAACCTAAAAACTGCAGACTATTTCTGACTTTTGATAACTTACACTGATGACAAAATGAGGTATAAAAAAAAAAAAATCTGAGCATATTTTATGTAGTGGCTACATTCGGTGAAATGCTTCTTATCATTGCACTGTAAAGTTTGTTCAGAAACGTCATATTTTCTAGTGTTATGTTGGATTGAATGAACAAATTCAAACACTACTAATACCACAAGTTGACATACCCTGTTCTGCAAAGTCTGTCAGTAGATCATTCTTTGTTGCTTTACAACAGGTGCCCATGAATAGACATATTTTATGTCATGTGGTCAAATCACATCAACCCTTCTGCTGGCATATGTCCCAGTTGATCTAAGAGATGAGTTTCTTCTCTTTCCTGTGGATGGCAGTCACTGAGGCAACATGAACATCTTGGTTAAAGCATTAAATGCCAAAGGTCATAATATTACAGCCATTCGGATGGTACTGTAGGCCGCTGGTACAGTAGATCAGACAGTTGTAACTTCATTACAAATCAATAAGTCTGCAGGAGGTTTTAGTAAAGAATTCTTTGAGACTTTTGCATCCAGAATTATAAACATTTTGAGGGAAGGTTCCACCTCGGGTTGTCTAAATCTGCAGTTGGATATGTGGGAAAATGCTTAAGAGACTCAAGGGATATGACAGTAAATATGATTGAGGATCACCTGCTGATGGAGTCCCTAAAGGAGGCTAGTTTTGATTTTGTTTTTTGCAGATCCAGTCAAATTTGGATGTGTTCTATTGGGTCACTCTCTCAACTGCCCATTATCCACAATATCTGCTGGACAGTTTACTATGAACTCATTTTGTAATACCTCCTTCTCCACTTTCTTATGTTCCTGTTTCAATGTTAGAGTTACCAGACCAAATGAGTTTCTCGGAGAGTGAAGAATGTTGTGATGTACATTATAGCTTTAAACACAACCGTCAACACAAGTTGATTTAACAAATTTGTGAGCCTCGTATTAAGTTTTTAATAGTTTTATACATTTTTTTTAGTTTCATGTAATTGGGTGAGCAGAAATTTGGTTAATAGCCAAGTAACCATAATTCAACACTGGATAGCACTTGTTGTGAGTCTTGTTTTATTAAATTAATGTCACATTAAAAATGCCAAGACTTATGGACTTAGGGATAAAGTACACATAGGTAGGTGTTATCATAGAATAACGTGCGACAAGCTTATCGGCAGCCTGAATACAGAACTAGAGCCAGAAAATGCCTAGAATAATAGTTTATTGATTCTCTAATTAGATGCAAAGCTGACAGAAACAAAAACGGCTTAATGAAGCATACACTAACCTATATATTATTCAGTCTTGAGATGGCACCAACAGTCAAAAACAGAGGCATGACAGACAAGCATGAAAATATGGACGTGAGCATATTCAATGATGGTCAAGATGATTCTTTGAGCCAGTGTTATTATTCTTGCAGAATGTTTTCACTGACCAATTAGAATCAAGTATTCCAGACAGCCACGTAATAATGTGTTTAATAAAAATAAAAACAATAATTAATTATAATAATGATCAATTTACAAACCTGTGTGTGAAAATGATGGAAACGTGTTTTAGTACTGTAGTGTAGTGGTGGGTCAAACAGTCTTAATAATAGACACGATTACAACAAAAAATCTATTTAATTGCCATGTGTTGGTGCTACTAGATGTGTCCCACACAGTCTCATGGCAGATCATAGGTATTTTATGTATAAATTCATACAACCTCATTTGTAGGTTATGGTACAATGGTATTATGATCCAGTGTTGAATAATGTATATGTACTCTATGTATCGGGAGTTTAAAAAAATTCAACAATTTTATGCAATTCCCATTGTGAAAATTTATATTGAGTTGGCTTCTTAAACAAAAAATTGACAGTATATTTTATAGTGAGATAAAATTTGATGTTTCACACATGCAACTCATTTTAAAATGTGCTTGTTCTCTTGCTTTGAAACAGGAAATATGAATGGAAAGGTTTTTCACATGCGTTGGCCAGTCACATTAACCCTTCTACTAGTAACTGTTCCAGTTGTTGAGAGCGGGAATGTTCTTGTTTTTCCTGTGGATGTTAGTCACTGGGTCAACATGAACGTCTTGGTTGAAGCACTTCATGCCAAAGGTCACAATATTACAGTCATGAGGATGGCAGACAGCTGGTACATCAAAGAGTTCTCACCTCACTACACATCAGTAAATCTCAAGTCCTCAGGAGGACTCAGTGAAGACTTCATCGGGCCATTTGTATCCAGACTTATGAACATTTTGAGGGAAGGTTCAACATGGGGTCGTCTAAAGTTAGAGATAGAGATGTGGCAAACTAGTCTGAAGATGATTGAAATAGAGCGTGAAATGATAACCAATATGATTGAAGATCAGCAGCTTATGCAGTCTTTAAAAAAAGCAAAGTTTGATTTGATTCTTACTGATCCTGCCATGTACGGAGGGGTCATGTTGGGTCACTATCTTAAACTGCCTATTGTCTACAATGTCCGTTGGACAATATTTGGTGAAGGTCATTTTGCAATAGCTCCATCTCCACTTTCTTATGTTCCTGTTCCAATGCTGGAGATACCAGACCGCATGAGTTTCTTAGAAAGAGTTAAGAATGTTGTGATGTACATTATAACAGAAACACAAATTGCTTTTTTAATTGCCCCAACTTACAATGCTCTCTGTGAACGCTTCATTGGCCCAGAAGTAAATTTTGGCAACTTAGTTCAGGAAGCTGATCTGTGGCTCCATAGAGCTGATTTTGTGTTTGAATATCCACGTCCCACTATGCCAAACATCGTCTACATGGCAGGTTTTCAATGCAAGCCATCAAAGCCTCTCCCACAAGATCTGGAGGACTTTGTTCAGAGCTCGGGTGATCATGGTGTCATTGTCATGTCTCTGGGGACTCTCATTGGTCAGCTTCCTGATGATGTGGCCGAGGCAATTGCTGAAGCTTTCGCAGAACTTCCACAGAAGATCATCTGGAGGTACAAAGGAAAGAGACCGTCTGCACTAGGAAACAACACCTTAGTGATGGACTGGATGCCTCAGAATGATCTTCTGGGTCATCCCAAGACCAGAGCCTTCGTGGCACATGGAGGAACCAATGGAGTTCAAGAAGCCATCTACCATGGGGTGCCAATCATTGGATTTGGCCTGATTTTTGACCAACCTGACAATCTTTCTAAAATGAGAGTGAGAGGTGCAGCCAAGAATGTAGACTTTGCCACAATGGATAAGGAGTCCTTCCTTAAAACGGTCAAAGAGGTTCTTTATGATCCCTCTTATCGGGAGAACATGCAGAGACTCTCAAGGCTTCACAAGGACGTTCCAGTGAAGCCTCTGGACAACGCCATCTTCTGGATTGAGTTTGTTATGAGACACAAAGGTGCCGCTCACTTGCGCACAGAGTCGTACAAAATGCCCTGGTACTCTTATCACTCTGTTGATGTTATTCTGGTGCTGATTTCTGCTGTGTCACTCATAATCTTGAGCATATATGCAGTTATCAGATATTTCTGCTGCAGAATATGCATGAGAACAACAAAAAACAAAAGAGTGAGTTTAAATTAAATTTACACAAAATGTGTGTAAGATATGCTTTTTACAGCTATATTGATTATTCTGGACTTTATGTAGAACAGTTTTAAGGAAATACGTCGGTTTCTTGATTAAAATAACATATATTTGTGATCAATTATTCCTTGCATGTACATGGCAACTGAAGAACCTGTCATGAGTTATTTCTAACCTAAGAATAAGTTGTATTTAATTATTAACTGTTAAGTAGATTAAATATGTTGCACTCCAAAATAGGTCTTGTATCATTTCTTATTTATTTCATCAAATAACTGATTTTAATTTTAGAATAAAAATTGTTCTTGGAAAATATATGCTTGGCGGCCATTTCTCCAGTCCTGAGTGTCACATGATTATTCTGAAATCATTCTAATATGATGATTTTCTGCTAAATATACATTTGTAATGGGTCTCCTGTTTTATCAGTGTTAAAACAATTGTTTAGATTTTTTTTTTCGAAAATTGTTTTACCTTTTCATGAGATTTTGATGATTTGAAAGTTCAAATACATATCATTTTTACTCTAAATATTTAACCAAACTGTCTACTCATATATTTGATCAGCATAAGTACTTTAAAACCTACTGTAATATAAAAATAATAATACTGGACCCAGATTCTTAAAATAAAGTGTTTTGATACTATCTACAAAGGAATTGGTTTATTAATTGTATTTTGTTCATTACATTAGTGAAAAAATGCCTGTTGTCCTTGTCACATTGTGTTTTGATAAAAAGAATTTTAAAAAGTAACATGGCATAGCCTTCTACAACTGTTAGAACAGAACTGAAAGCACCTGTCACAAGAGTTCTTAATAAATCAGTGTCATTAAATATAGTAAGCATTATGGAATGCTACTATAGAACAAGAATTAATATAAATATAAATATAAATTCACAACCCACTCTGTCAAATTGTTGGGTAAGCATTATTAGTTGTTGCTGGGATTGATTTACAGTACAGGGCATCTACAAAGTATTCACTGTGCTTGCCATGATATTTAAAACTGACATAATTTCCTTCCTGTTTCCACTGGTCATCCTTGAAATGTTTCTACAATTTGATTGGAGTTAATCTATGGTAAATACAGTTGATTGGACATGATATGGAAAGGCACATGTCCATCTATATAAGATTACAGTTAGTAGTGCCTATTACAACAAAAAACAAGCCTTAAAGACCTTGGAAACAGTATTGTATTGAGGCATAAATCTGGAGAACCATACAGAAAATTGCCATCAAAGGTTTCAATGAGCACAGTGGCCTCCATCATCTGTAAATGGAAGAGGTTTGGAACTACCAGCAACCTTTCTAGAGTGGGCTTTCTGGCCAAACCGAGCTATCAGGGGGGAAGAGCCTTGGTCAGGGAGGAGACAATCAACCCAGTGGTAACTCTGAAAGAGCACCAATGTTTTTTCTGTGGAAAACAGAGAACTTTATAGGAGAACAACCATCTCTGCAGTGCTCCAACAATCAGGCCTGAATGGTAGAGTAGCTAGATGGAGGACACTCCTCTGTAAAATGCACATAAAAGTCCATCTGAAGTTCACCAAAAGCTACCTGAAGGACGCTTGAAGCATTTAAAACAAAGTTCTCTTAACCAATGAAACAAAGATTGAACTCTGTCTGGAGTAAACCCAGGCACCGCTCCTTCCCTGGCCAATACTACCCCTACAGTGAAGCATGATAGTGGCAGCATCAGGATATGGGTATGTTTTTCAACATCAGAAAATAGGAGACTAGTCCAGATCAAGGGCAATATTATTGCAGCACTGTACAGACACAAAATTGATTTAAACCAGCTCCAGTTTACTCTGGACGTAAGACAAAGAACCCGATGGTCACTCTAAAAGAGCAACAATGTTTTTTTTTTCTGTGAAGAGAGGAGAATCTTCCAGGAGAACAACCATCTCTGCAGTTCTCCAACAATCAGGCCTACGTGGTAGAGTAGCCAGATGGAGAAATCTCCACAGTAAAATGCACATGAGAGCCCATCTGAAGTTTTTTTAAATAGCCACCCGAAGGACTCTTAAAGCAGTTAAAACAAAGTTCTCTGGTCTGATGAAACAAAGATTGAACTCTGTCTGGAGTAAACCCAGGCACCGCTCCTCCCCTGGCCAAAACCATCCCTACATTCCTAAGCATAAAACTAAGATAACAAAACAGTAGCTTTGAGACAACTCTGTGAATGTCCTTGTGTGGCCCAGCCAGAGCCCAGACTTGAACCTGATTGAACAACCCTGGAGAAATCAAAAAATTACTGTGCTGTGCTCCCTATCCAACCTGATTGAGCCTGAAGATCTCTAAGCATTTAAAACAAAGTTCTTTGGTTTGATGAAACAAAGATTGAACTTTGTCTGGAGTAAACCCAGGCACCGCTCCTCCACTGGCCAATACTATCCCTACATTCCTAAGCATACAACCAAGATAACACACCAGTAGTTATGAAACAACTCTGGGAATGTCCTTGTGTGGCCCAGCCAGAGCCCAGACTTGCACTAGTTAAACAACTCTGGAGAAATCTAAAGATTGCTGTGCACTGGTGCTCCCCATCCAACCAAAGCTTAAGAGGTTTTGCAAAGAAGTGGTGCAGAGAATAATGAATTTAATTAATTTGGGAATAAGATTGTAACAACAGAATGTGTAAATAAAATGAAGTGATATTTTTCTGAGTGAACTGTTTTGAACTATTTAAAAAGTCAAAACAGACATTATTGCAACAAACTAATTTGCTTAATTTCCTAAAGTGTTGGTTCTGCTTGATGTTTTCAACAGTGTCATGGCAGTTAATACGTATTTAGTGTTTTGCTAATTGGTGGATATTTAGTTTGAATTTGTAAAATTTGACTTGCCAATTTATACTCATTTTTCTAATGATCCAGAGTTGGTTAATGCATGTTTTAGGTGGAAATTCGTGTTTGCTTAAAAATATGCAGTTCATATTATAAAAAAATATTAATTGTTGCCTTGTAAAATAGTTATATTTTTATATAAAATCAAACTGAATGAATCAAACACGCAACTAACTTTAAAATGTGCTTGTTCTTTTACTTTGAAACAGGAACTATGAACAGAAAGGTTTTTCACATGCTTTGGCCAGTCACATTATGCCTTCTACTAGTAATGGCTCCAGTTGTTGAGAGCGGGAATGTTCTTGTCTTTCCTGTGGATGGCAGTCACTGGGTCAACATGAACATCTTGGTTGAAGCACTTCATGCCAAAGGCCACAATATTACAGTCATTCGGATGTCAGACAGCTGGTACATCAAAGAGTTCTCACCTCACTACACATCAATTACACTAAAGTCTTCGGGAGGATTTAGTGAAGACATCCTTGAGACGTTTGCATCCAGACTTATAACCATTTTAAGGGACGGTTCCACATGGGGTCGTCTAAAGTTAGAGATGGAGATGTGGCAAAGTTCATTAAAGATTATGGAAACAGAACGTGAGATGATAATCAACATGATTGAAGATCAGCAGCTTATAGATTCTTTAAAAAAAACAAAGTACGATTTATTTCTTACCGATCCTGCCATGTACGGAGGGGTCATATTGGGTAACTATCTTAAACTGCCCATTGTTTACAATGTCCGTTGGGCTATTTTTGGTGAAGGTCATTTTGTTATAGCTCCATCTCCACTTTCTTATGTTCCTGTTGCAATGCTAGAGTTACCAGACCGCATGAGTTTCTTGGAAAGAGTTAAGAATGTTGTGATGTACATTATAACAGAAACACAAATTGCCTTTTTGATTGCCCCAACTTACAATGTTCTCTGTGAACGCTTTATTGGCCCAGGAGTAAATTTATTCAACTTAGTTCAGGGAGCTGATCTGTGGCTCCATAGAGCTGATTTTGTGTTTGAATATCCACGTCCCACTATGCCAAACATCGTCTACATGGCAGGTTTTCAATGCAAGCCATCAAAGCCTCTCCCAAAAGATCTGGAGGACTTTGTTCAGAGCTCGGGTGATCATGGTGTCATTGTCATGTCTCTGGGAACTATAATTGGTCAGCTTCCCGATGATGTGGCCGAGGCAATTGCTGAAGCCTTTGCAGAACTTCCACAGAAGATCATCTGGAGGTACAAAGGAAAGAGACCGTCTGCACTAGGAAACAACACTTTAATAATGGACTGGATGCCTCAGAATGATCTTCTGGGTCATCCCAAGACCAGAGCCTTTGTTGCACATGGAGGAACCAATGGAGTTCAAGAAGCCATCTACCACGGGGTGCCAATCATCGGATTTGGCCTGATTTTTGATCAGCCTGACAATCTTTCTAAAATGAGAGTGAGAGGTGCAGCCAAGAATGTAGACTTTGCCACAATGGATAAGGAGTCATTCCTTAAAACGGTCAAAGAGGTACTCTATGATCCCTCTTATCGGGAGAACATGCAGAGACTCTCAAGGCTTCACAAGGACGTTCCAGTGAAGCCTCTGGACAACGCCATCTTCTGGATTGAGTTTGTTATGAGACACAAAGGTGCCGCTCACTTGCGCACAGAGTCGTACAAAATGCCCTGGTACTCTTATCACTCTGTTGATGTTATTCTAGTGCTGATTTCTGCTGTGTCACTCATAATCTTGAGCATATATGCAGTTATCCGATATTTCTGCTGCAAAATATGCATGAGAAAAACAAAAATCAAACGTCAATGAATTTGCTTTTTTAGCACTTGATTTTAGTAAATTATGTTAATAAATGTTTTAATTACATAATACAATAATTACATAATCATTTCAGACAGGAGCAGACAAAAACATCTGCAGTTTGCATTTAATATTCAGGATGTAAAATGAATTTGGAATTAAGTAAACAAAGGTAAAAGCAAATAAAAATAAAGATTTAGGCTGGGCATACAAATCACAGAGTAATATTGAATAAATGTTTAGGAAGACTGGCAAATGTGGTGTTTCAACAACAGAAATAACTTGAAAGGGTTTACTCTTACACGTGTGTACACATTGTACTTTTTGACAGGAGTAGACATGAATTTTCAAATAGCCCAGCCTGACTGGGTACCAGCTGTTTCTTTGTGATTACTGAATGATTGTGGATGTAGTGTATTCTGATTAAGACTGAAGTGCAATATTTGAATGTTTCCATAAGCAAATAAATAGAGATTCCATATTTTATATTTGCCTCTTTATATTTTCTCAGTGCAAGTTTCAATCAATTTTGACTGTTTTGAAGCAATATTACAAGAATGTATTGACAGAATTTCAAATATTTAGTACAACATAATTTAAAGTAAAAAACTAACAAACTAATATTTTCAATAAACACTAACATTTTAATCTGTGTACAATAATGCCCAATTCACATCTCCAAGAAAGCTAAATCTGTTTAAAGTCACCATATTTTCTTAATTTGGAATTGCATGTATTCTTTTCTTTGCGATAGGTACTATGAATGGACAAGGTTTTCAGGTGATGTGGCCAATCACATTAACTCTTCTGCTTGCATCTGTCCCAGTTGCTCAAAGTGGGAAAGTTCTTGTCTTTCCTGTGGATGGCAGTCACTGGGTCAACATGAACATCTTGGTTGAAGCACTTTCTGCCAAAGGTCATGATGTTACAGTCATGAGGACGGCAAGCAGCTGCTACATAAAAGAATTCTCACCTCAATACACTTCAATAAATCTGAAGTCTAAAGGAGGATATAATAAAGAAGTCCTTGAACAATTTGCATCCAGACTAATGCACATACTGAGGGACGGTTCCACGTGGGGTCATCTGAAGCTGCAGGCTGAGTTGTGAAAAGTTCTTTGAAGATTTTGGAAGCAGAAAGTGAGATGATTGTCAACATGATCGGAGATCAGCAGCTTATGCAGTCTTTAAAAGATGCCAAGTATAATATGATTCTTACAGACCCAAACATGTTTGGAGGGGTCATATTAGGTCACTATCTAAAACTGCCCATGTTCTACAATGTCCGTTGGGCAGTTTACAGTGAAGCCTATTTTGCAATAGCTCCTTCTCCACTTTCTTACGTACCTTTTCCATTCCACCTTTTCCTATTCTGCTGCAGAATATGCATGAGAACAACAAAAGTCAAACTTCAATGAATTTGCTTTTTAGTGAATTTGATTTTAGAACATTTTGTTTTTGTCAACAGCCATGACGCCTCTATATTGTCCATGTATACACCTAAGAATATAATAAATAATTTTTGTAAACATTACATGGAGACAAAAGCAGACAAAAGGTCTGCAACATCTGAATTATATATTCATAGAAATGTATATTTACCTGGTGATTGGTGTGTTATACCTTCTTCCAAATCTCTTTTGCATGTTTTATTCACTTTCATGATGTGCGATTGCCCAAACAGTAAGGGAAATCTAGTTAATGATTATGTAACTTTGCTCACATATAAATAAATGCTGGCATGCACTGTGAGGACAAAGACTGTACTTGTAGTTTGGTGACTTACACTCCATGCAAATAAGGTTTACCTGCTATATTTTCAAATCTAAGAAATGATGGGTAAGAAAGTTTTTCTTTTATTATGCTTGTAATTATTGAATGACTGCGGATCAGATCAGATATTTCTGCTGCAGAATATGCATGAAAAAAACAAAAAGCAAACATGAATGATATTTTTTATTTTCCATTTTAGTAAATTACATTAACAACATTTTTAATTCAGTGGGTTATGCAGCAGGGCGTGCATTCTGTGACAAATCTCTACTTGAGAGCATAGACTTATGGGAAACTTTTGTTATACAATTATACATCTCTGCTATGGTGCATTGGTACAATTTGGGTATACAAATTTCTTTTAGAATAGAGACTTTATCAGCATACATACAGCAGCTTTTATGTATATACAGAATACAATTAATAAATACAACTCAAAGTTTCATAATTTGGTCAAATCTCACGTTATCTCTTATTTACTGATTACAATGCAATCTGTCACACAGAAAAACAGGTAAAGCAGTTCCTCGAAGAATAAAAGCATTGAGATAATAAAATGACAGCCCAGATTTTTTATCTAATCTTGTTGGCTAGCTACCTAAGCACTTAGACATCTTAAAAACGTAGTGACTCCTTGTAACTTTCAAATTCTGAAATAGGACTTTCTGGCATAATTGTACTTTATTCAGTTTCTGACAAAATAATTTGTTTATAAATTCTAGTCTAATTTTAGACTTAACTGTATTTCTGTCATACAGCATAGACATGTATGGTATATCATACCGTACCGTAGCACTCCATGGAAACGGGCCATAAACTGCCAGTGAGCACCATTATTTGGATGAGACATTAAACCAAGGTTATGAATCTCTGTGATTGTTAAAAATCCCAAGATGTCATAAAATTATCACTTCATACTCTCCACAATAAGCTGATGGGTGGCATGCGGTCTGCCACTAAATGGCTGCTGTTGTGTCATCCAAGTGGATGAGGAGATTCCCCTAAATCTGTAAAGCTCTGAGTGCTCAGAAAAGCACTATTTAAATGTAAGAATTTATAAATTATAGTTATGCAAAACTACACTGTGTTGTGATTTATTAGGATTTGCTGTTAAACATTAGCTACATAGCTCTTCTATGAATTTCTGCATAAGGCTTCCTCGAAGAGAGTCACATGATTACTAAACAAACAATCTCATCTCTGGAAAGCTTGTGTGCTTTTCTCCACCGTTGGACACTGTTTTAGGTAAGTTAAATATCCAAATACTGTACATTTTGTGAGTTTTTACTTTGGCTGGGATAATTCAGAATATTAAGGCAAGTAGGAATGCCTATTTTTTATTGCTGGTATCTTGAAGGGTTTGTCCAACTAAGGATAAAAATGTCAAGTTCATGTTGTGCAAACATTAAACAGTAAAGTGTGTTTTAGTTTGTTCCGTAACTATAGTAATGAATAGTAGCTCATTGATAAAATCTTTGAAGGTAAATGCCCCTTGTCCTTTACAGATTGTTAATTGAACCTTTGCTCGCATATAAAAAAAATGCTGGCATGCATAGTGAAGGCAAAGGTTGTGCTTGTTTGATCGCTTGCACTCCATGCAACAAAAGTTTACCTAGTAGATATTTTGTAACACAATGAAGAGTGAGAAAGTGTGAGAATCATGTGCAATGTTTATGAGCCATCTTTATTTTAGGGGTGTTTACTTTTTTATATTTTATTTTAGCATGTTTGTCTCTAAACATTTTCCCTGTGCATTTAGTTTTATCTTTTCATTCATTTCCGACAGATACTATGAACCAGCAGGGTCTTTGCCTAATCACATTAGCCATCTTGCTGGCATCTCTCCCAGTTGTTCAGAGCAAGAAGATTCTTGTCTTTTCTGTGGATGGCAGTCACTGGGTCAACATGAACATCTTGGTTGAAGCTCTTCATGCCAAAGGTCACAATATTACAGTCATGCGGATGACAAATAGCTGGTACATCAAAGAGTTCTCACCTCACTACACTTCAATCACTCTAAAGTCTGCAGGAGGATTTGATGAAGACTTCTTCACAGTCTACTGTGAAACTACTGGGTATTCTGAGGGAAGGTTCGATCTGGACTCATCTGAAGGTGAAGATAGAGATGTGGCAAAGTTTTTCAGGAATGGTTGAAGTTGAAAACAAAATGATAGTCAACATGTTTGAAGACCATCAGCAGATGTAGTCCTTAAAATATGCCAAATTTGATATGATTCTAACAGATCCGTTTATAGTCGCAGGGGTGCTCTTTTGGGTCACCATCTTAAACTTCCTATTGTCTACAATGCTCGCTGGACAGTTTACTTTGAAGCTCATTTTGCAATAGCTCCTTCTCCACTTTCTTATGTTCCTGTGCCACTGCTGGAGTTATCAGATCGCATGAGTTTCTTGGAAAGAGTGAGAAATTTTGTGATGTACATCATACCAGAAATACAGGCAGCTATCATGAATTCTCCATCTTATGATGCACTCTCCGAACTGTTCATTGGTCCAGGAAAATCCTATCTTTCTTTAATTCAGGGAGCTGATCTGTGGCTCCATAGAACTGATTTTGTGTTTGAATATCCACGTCCCACTATGCCAAACATCGTCTATATTGGAGGTTTTCAATGCAAGCCATCAAAGCCTCTCCCACAAGATCTGGAGAACTTTGTTCAGAGCTCTGGAGATCATGGTGTCATCATCATGTCTCATTGGTCAGCTTCCTGATGATGTGGCCGAGGCAATTGCTGAAGCTTTCGCAGAACTTCCACAGAAGATCATCTGGAGGTACAAAGGAAAGAGACCGTCTGCGCTAGGAAACAACACCTTAGTGATGGACTGGATGCCTCATGGTCATCCCAAGACCAGAGCCTTCGTGGCACATGGAGGAACTAATGGAGTTCAAGAAGCCATCTACCACGGGGTGCCAATCATCGCATTTGGCCTGAATTTTGACCAACCAACCTGACAATCTTGAAAAAATGAGAGTGAGAGGTGCAGCCAAGAATGTAGACTTTGCCACAATGGATAAGGAGTCTTTCCTTAAAACGGTCAAAGAGGTACTCTATGATCCCTCTTATCGGGAGAACATGCAGAGACTCTCAAGGCTTCACAAGGATGTTCCAGTGAAGCCTCTGGACAACGCCATCTTCTGGATTGAGTTTGTTATGAGACACAAAGGTGCCGCTCACTTGCGCACAGAGTCGAACAAAATGCCCTGGTACTCTTATCACTCTGTTGATGTTATTCTGGTGCTGATTTCTGCTGTGTCACTCATAATCCTGACCATATATGCAGTTATCAGATATTTCTGCTGCAGAATTTGCATGAGAAAAACAAAAGCCAAGCGACAGTAATGAAAATGTAAAATGTTTACTTGTTTTAATACTATTTGGTACCTATAAAAAGATGCTTGGGGAAATATTTTGGAAAAATTGCATATTCAGTTACATACATGTTATGTTGTGACGGTCGAGGAAATCACACTCAGTGTGTGTGTGTATGTGTGTGTGTATGTGTGTTGGGGTGGGGGTGGGGGGTTGTGACGCGGGCCCATCCGCTATGCCACCGTGTTTAACAAGTGCACGCAAGTAAAACATTATATCAGAAACGACGAAAATGACTAACAGCTATAATATATAAACTCCATAAGTTGTAAAAGCCTTGTGTCGAACGTCAAACAGACGGTCCCAATCACATTGTATCTGGTCAGAGAAACTATTAACAGCAAAATGACTGACTGTTGGTGCTGGTAAATCCTTAATAAAAGCAATGTGTACATGATTTGCTGCGCAATACATGCTCTTTGCAGCCATTGAGGATGTAACGTGATGCAATGTTATTGTCAACGAGGCTTTGTAGTTGTAAAGATAAATAATTACATATTTGTAAATAGACTACAGTCATTATGATAGTTCTATAAGTATAGGTTGCTCCTTACACCAAAAAAATAAATGAATAAATAAATCATGACTATTTGTAGTTAAACCATGAACTAATAATTTTTTCCACACTAACATTTAACCATAATGTTTAAAGAAAAAAAAAAGATAACCACTGTCACATAAAAACATGGTTACTTCCCACACTTACCATAATAAAAGTTATTAAAAATTTGAATATTTGAATATGCATAAATATAAATAACGATATGTATACACGACGCAAGAAAATGCAATATATGAGGGAAAATTAGTAAAGCTTAACATGTAGTTCTTTTCTTCACCAAAGTACTGAAAAAATACAAAACAAAGCACGTCGTATTCATGGAGTGAACCAGATACATTTATAAGCAGGGTTATTGTAGTTTACAGTCTTCCTTACTCATCACACTAACCACTGGGCTGCATCAACATGCATTTCTGATACAAGATGTCCTTGCACAACACACACACACATGCACACACAATCTGGAACACACATAATCTGTATGCGTGTTTGAAAATGTCCTGACTTCACGCTTTACAGAACTTTCTGCTGCTTTAGTATTTTAACATGCTGCCAAGCTGCTAAAAATACAAGCATAATTGAAAGCTTTTATCCGAGCACGATATAAAAAGCATTTCTCCTTTTTCTGACATCATTATACAGTTTAACTAAGGTTTTTAAGAGCAGTCGTCTAATGCGGCGGGTGTATGTGCCAGCATATTTCTCTGTGTTGTTGTTTTCTGTGTATTTTAAGGATTGTTTGGCATCATCCCCATTATCCTTCACCTAGACAAGATGCAGGCTATTTCTGGCAAACATCAGAGAGGAAACGACAGGGTCTGAACATCAGCAGTCTCAGCAGGTGCAGTATATATGTTTAGACATTATGATGGTGATGTTCACACATTTTTATTATGCCATCTGATATATAAGCCTAAAGCCCCTATGACAAAGTCCCTTGTCGTTGTCATGTCCATCACAGTATATTGTCCAAAGGGCAAAATAAAAACAGTCACAGTTGCAATAGCTGATTAGAGTTTGACCATTGCTAATAAAAATAAAAATAATAGTATTTTTAATTATAATAGCAGTAATAATAAAAATAATACAGTACAATGTAGAGCTGCGCGATATTGGAAAATTCTAACATTGTGATAAAATGTTTATTTTGCGATATATATTGCGATATGGATACAATTTCACCATACTGTATGTCTTCATATTTCGATTTGGAAATAATTTATAATGTTAGATCAATTAGGATGATTCTGCAGTGGGAGTGCATCTCCATAAAATAAAGTATCTGTAAAATTTTGGGAGTCCCTGACACAATTTTGTTGTCTGTGCTGCTTGCAGTGCGTTTCTCTATTTGCACATTGTATTTTCATTAACATATTTAGTCAGAAATTGATGAATAAATTCAAAATCAAATATATATGTATATTAATTTAGATTTTTTGTAAGATTTTTTAACATATGTTCTCCAGACTTTCATTATATATTGTTGAATAAGTATGTATGTGTAAGTAAGCATTTATATATGTGTATGAGTTTATATATATGTATGTATGTATATGTATGCATGTACATGCATGTTTACGTGCATTAATTTGTATACTATATTTGTTTTTTGTCTATATATGTTGTATATATATATATATACACACATACATACACACACACACACACACACACACACACACATATATATATATATATATATATATATATATATATATATATATATATTTTTTTTTTTTTTTTTTTCCTCTATCAATGCTGAAGTAATGATGATTGTTGAGTCGACTTTGTTTAATATATTAATATAAAGCCTTAGATTCAATAAGGTACTGGAAATATTCCGTTAGATTTTTGTCTATATTAACATGATAGCATCACGCAGTTGCTGCAGACTTGTCGGCTGCACGACCAAAATGCGTATCTCTGGTTCTACCACATTTCAAAGTTGCTCTATTTGATTGAGATCTGCTGTAGCTCATCCACCTCAAGGTTGGACGTGTTGTTTGTTCAGAGATACTCTTCTGCATACCCCGGTTGTAACTAGTGGTTATTTAAATTACTGTTGACTTTCTATTAGCTTGAACCAGTCCGGCCATTCTCCTCTGACCTGTAAAGTCAACAAGGCATTTGCGCTCACAGAACTGCCGCTCTCTGAATATTTTCTCTTTTTTCGACATTCCCTGTAAACCCTAAAGATGGTTGTGCGTGAAAATCCCAGTAGATCAGCAGTTTCTGATGTACTCAAACCAGCCTGTCTGGCATTAACAACCATGCCACGTTCAAAGTCACTTAAATCACCTTTCTTCCATATTCTAATGCTTGTTTTGAACTGCAGCAGATCGTCTTGACCTTGTCTACATGCCTAAATGCACCGAATTGCTGCCATGTGATTGACTGATCAGAAACTTGCGTTCACAAGCCGTTGGACACATGTACCTATTAAAGTGGCCAGTGAGTGTAGATGTGCTGCAAGTTTTAAAGCACATCTTATTATATGCCGTATTTAGCATTTTAATTTCATGTTAATATGACCAAAATACTAAAGCACTCCACAGCACAATGAAGCAAGATAACAGAAACCTTTTCATCATTTATCCAGGTTACCATGACAGCCTGAGGGTAGCAGCTCCTTCTGTGTGTGTGTGTGTGTGTGTGCGTATCTCAGTGTCCTTCAAAGGATGCTCTGTCCACTTAAATAGGACAAACTTCCTTTCTCTCTTGCGCGCTCTCATTTTCCTTGAGGGGCAGCACTTTCACCCCATTAGTCATTCTAAAAAATGAGGATGTGAGATGTGTGAAAACTGGGCTAAAAAAAAAAATACGGACACATTAAAGTTTCTTCATTGGCTCGCATGTGCGTCTATTTTCAGAAGCAAAACTGCTGCACGATGAGAAATGCTGCCCCCCAAAGGACGGCGTACATTTGTTTATGTTCCGTCCCGGAGCTCTATTTGTATGCATGTGTGTGTATGCTAGAGTAGATTCTCTGACTCTGAACAATAGCATATGTGAGGATGTGGATGCACAGAGTAATATAGCAGGGTTTGTGATGAGTGTTTAAGTACATTGAAGCAAGTAATTACAGCTGTTCCCCATCGCCCTCAGATTTAAACCGTGACACACACAGACACTCGCACAGAATGCTGGAAATGTCCTTCAGTCGTTCGTCACGCTTTTCAGATGAACTGAAACCAATTCAGCGAGGGTCCATCAGCCTCAGTAAGCATACTAAATGGGATGTAATATCAGGCTTTCTTTTTTTAAATAGTGTGTTTCAGGAGTAAAACTTTGTGTTATGTTTTCTTATTATATACAACAATAAATCTCTCTATTGGTGACGCAGTGGCGCAGTAGGTCACAGCAACAGCAAGAAGGTCGAGGGTTCGAGCCTCGGCTGGATCAGTTGGCGTTTCTGTGTGGAGTTTGCATGTTCTACCTGCATTTGCGTGGGTTTCCTCCGGGTGCTTAATTGCTGCTTGCAGCTATATTATATATTAGTTTTATTATTTTTAAGCATTATTATTATTATTCATTCATTCATTCATTTTCTTTTCTTTTCTTTTCAGCTTAGTCCCTTTATTAATCTGGGGTTGCCACAGCAGAATGAACCGCCAACATATCCAGCATATGATCTATGCAGCGGATGCCCTTCCAGCTGCAACCCATCACTAGGAAACATCCATACACACTCATTCACACACATACACTAATGACAATTTAGCTTATCCAGTTCACATATACAGCATGTCTTTGGACTTGTAGGGGAAACCGGAGCACCCAGAGAAAACCCATGCCAACACTGGAAGAACATGCAAACTCCACACAAAAATGCCAATTGACCCAACCGAGGCTCGAACCAGTGACCTTCTTGCTGTAAGGCGGGAACGCTACCCACTGCGCCACCATGCTGCCCAGTATTGTTATAATTATTGCAAATATCTTCAGGATAAGAAACAAACTAGTAATTATATTCTTATCCACTGAAGTAAGGCTTGCACATTAAGAATTAATTCAGGGATTTGCTGCATTATTAAAATTGAAGGATCTAGTTTATTTTAACTGCCCTAGAGATTTCAGTCAGAGTCATAATTTCTACCAGATCCTTAACTTACTTGTAAATATTAAAAAATCGAATGTCATTTAGAAATCAAGTTTAATCTGAATAAAGCTTATGGAAGTCTGTGTCCTCATTTAGGCAAGCAAACGTGTGTTCCATAAAAGAGCGAGAGAGCATGAAAACGATAAGACATCAGCAGTCTCCTGATCCTTTTGTTTGTTTGTTTATAAACTCAAGGGTGTAGAAGTGCATTGATGGCTTTCAGCATGAAACGCACACAGACACGCAAGCCCTACACATCTCACTGGCCTCAGCATCAACTTTGCTCCCATTTGCATCTCATTAATTATTCAGGAAGGCTTCATAAATATGCAAACTCGATTCTTACTCTAACTCATTTGCTTTATGCCATCTGGCCATTAAGCAACTTCTAAACAGTTCATTTAGAGAGGCATCCACGCACACACAAGCAGACAGGTATCTCCTGCATCCCATTTACACACACACACACACACACACACAACCACACGCAGAGACTTGCTGATCCAGCTGAAGAGAAGACCACCAAGGTCAAGGTGTCTCTGTCTTCATTCCCTCCAGCTCTCTTTCTCTCTAGCTCTACCTTATCTAACCTTTCACTGCCCGTTCCCTCCTCTTACATAAGGAATGTTTTTCTGTCTTTTTCCTTATTTTATGTAGAATACAGAAACTCTTGTTATTAGCGACACCAGTGGCTGTTTAGTGAACTGCAGCCAGCAACTAATTTGGCCCTATCATACCCCTGGCGCAATGCAGCACCAGGGGCCACACAAGTGTTATTGCTAGTTTCATTATGACACAAGAATCGTTCTCACATTCTGCGCCACATTGATTAAATAGAAAATGCATTTGCGTCCATTTTTGTCCTAGTATGACTGCAAATCAAGGGTCAAGAAACACCAAGACACATTGTTGCTGAAAACACTGTTAGGACACATATATTTCCCTAAAGGTAAAAACTGGTTGTTCATCTCGAGCATATTTGTTATGAAAATAAATTTTGAAGCTACATCATGGCGATTAGATCCTTGTGTAAATTCCAGCGTGGAGATGGGATGTCTGTACCGGCAGTACAAAGTGACGTCTTTTCAGCAATAATTCATGAGAGACTTGGTTCGAACCAATCAGTGCACTTTATTGTGAATGAGATGCAACTTCATTAATATGCATGACATGGCTTGGAAGACTGTTTTACCTGTTACAGTGTTCAGACGGCAGAGAGACAGCACGTCGTGTTGCCAACTGTAATCAAAACAAGTGGAAGACGATGAATTGTTCGGAGACATGGGTCGTCAGTGTTGCATTTATAAATGTGCCGCAATGAGAGCACAGCTCACGTGTCAATCAACATTTGTGGATTACAGTGGTCTGCTAACATGTGACAAAAATATGTTCGTAAGGAACATTTTTAACCCAAGAGCTTTTCGCATCTGGAAATGATTAAATCCAGATTTGCCACTCGACTTCTGTTTTTAAAAAAAGACGGTTCCAGTTGGTGTTGATTTTCCTGTCTACAGATTTGGTAAATGTGCATCAATGTTCTTTGTATATGTTTATTCAAATGGCAAAGTTAGTTAGAATCGTCAGCAGAACTCTTTCTGTTTTTAAAGACATACCTTAGTCCAAATTATTTAGTCACTAAGTTTACAGGAATACCACTACACTACATCCGCTGTAAATGCTGCTCTCCAAATGTAAACATGTAAACACTGCAATCAAACTCTTACCGTCATTTAGGATTTTTACCATTTAGGATTTTCGCCACATTTTGTGACAGGATTGTCTATATACACACAGCTGTTTGACGCTATTCTCTGCACCTACCGAGTCTCTGCATCTAACGAGGAATTTGGAAGTTTTTTCTCCCATTTAGTGTGCTGTATCAAATTCCATTACACTCTTCCAGCACTTCCTCGCATCCAATATCTTGTTTGTCACAGGGGGCATGCATGAACATGAAATGAATGAAAGTGAAAGTGCTAAAGTGCAGCTAAAGTCAACAAAAAATAAGAATGAAACCCCTGAAATTACTTGAAACTCCAGAGGAAATGTGGATAGCGTGGTGACGCAATGATGTTAATCAGTCTAAAATATGTAAAACGGGATCATGAAATGAACATTAAAAAAGCAAATCATGTAAACACCTTGATCATATTATTGTGTTATTCAGATTAAGGAAAATCATTTGATTACTGATGTCCTTGTAAACGTAATCACTGTCTATCTCCCCTGCATCTGTATTTTTGTTGCCGCTGTGAAAATCAGCGCATGCACATACTGAAACTCCCCTTTTCATGCAAACCCTTCCCTCTTTCGCCACTCGCCACTCACACCTAAACAACTATTGTTTTTCTGAAAAGTATTGGTTCATGGCCCTTTGGAATCAGCAAAAATCTGAATTATGATTGTTATTTTGTCCCCTATCGTGATGTACATCGAATTTAAACAGTTTCTGAAATGAGAAAAAATGTATGGCTGTGCATGATTTTGTAATTTCCTATTGAATAATTGGAAGATGGATGTTGTTACCAAAATGGTGAAAGATGCAAATGCCAGTTTGCATTCAGCTGTGGAGTATTAATGTCCACCAGAATCCCTGTCGGCCTCTGGTGCAGATAGTTTATAATACAGTATGATGATGAAAATGAAAAGCTACATTTTTGGGAGGGGTTATGGTATTTGATTAAAGATTATGATAGCAAATGAATTTTTACAAAATAATGCACAAGTGAATGTAAAAATAACATTTTTACATTTACATTACATAACAGAGTACATTTTGATTTTATGCCAACTTTAAAGGGAAAAGGAGATGAAACTGATTGGTTTAATTCACGTCAGGCCCAAAACCAACACAATCTCACAGCAATTCATAGCTTTTTGATTTAGTGGCTAATTTGTATGAATTTGATGATCTCATTCGTACAATTAAGTATGATTTGCTTATTCCCGGATGACGGTTGAGTTTAGGGACAGAATTGGATGCCAAAACTCCTTTTAAAAATCGTAAATTTTTGTATGAATGAATTCGCACAAATTATCCACTACACTGACAAAACGTAAAAAATAGTTACGTTTCCTCATGAAATCAGGCTGCCAAAACAAACCCATAATTCATTAAGAGAATATAAACAACCATTATAGACTATGCACTGGGCGTGCCAACCATTTTACTTATCCATAAAACAGCAAAAGTGGATTTGGACATGCCCTAAATGCAGTTGCGCCTGCATGTGATTCAGACCATGAGCTTAAATAGTTAAAATAGAGCCCATTGCTCACAATTGATCACACATAACATTCAAACAATTAACTCCTGATATATTTATATATATTATTCAGTTCTTTTTTTATTCTTTGATTAGTGGTAAAGAAATGTTGTAACATACCTTTGCAGTGAAAAACTGATTAACGAACATCTAGATGTTGTCCACGCTGCTGAAATCAACGTTTAGAAGAAGTTGTCAATGTGTGCCGCTCGCTGGTCTCTCTGTAACAAAGTAGAGAATAAAATGGCAATGAGAAAACAGCAGTTAAGAAAGCATCTGATCATTGCAATCTGAATAGGTTTGCGCATGGTATGCTCAGCAATGCAATGCTCACTAATACAATTCAAAATGATTGTTGGAATATTAAGTTTTAATAGTTTGATTATATATACTTTTGTCTTCATTATCTTGAGCATTGTAGAAGCGTTTGATTTATGTCATCTTTGATTTACCAAAAACAAAAATGTCCTCAGTTCTTTACATAATAAAATAAAAAAATATTATTATATTGACTTTAAATGAAATGAAAATGATTTTAAAAATAATCAGAATGAGTAAATAAATGTGTATGAACAAATACTATGATGAAAGAGAACACAATAAAAAAATACAATATAAATATTTTAATAAAAATATTTTTGACTGATTTATAATACTCATTTTCCACTGTGCATGAGGAGGATCTTTTTTTAATTTTTCTATAAAGGGAGCACTCTTTGCACATTTTCTATGCTATAATCTATTCAGAATTAGAATAAATTAATTCATAGATTCATAACTGCAATGCCTGACATATAGCAATAACCATAAATCCAATATTACTGCTTGTAGTTTAATGTTTACTGCCGTATTTACTTCTGTTAGCTGAGTAAAATAAACAGGTCAGAGCTGCTTTTATGGAGTGGAGGAAGGGACTAATTAGCATATTCTAATTAACAAATACTAAATAGACATCATGGTGGCTCAGTGGATAGCATAGTCACCATACAACAAGAAAGTCACCGGTTCGAGCCCTGGCTGGTTCAGTTTGCATTTCTGTGTGGAGTTTGCAGGTTCTCTCCATGTTTGCTATGCTCCGGTTTCCCCCACAAGTCCAAAGACTTGCACTCATTTCATTAGTCTATGTGTGTGAATGTAAGAATGTATGAGTGTTTCCCAGCATCCGCTGCGTAAAACATATGCTGGATAAGTTGGCGGTTCATTCCGCTGTGGTGACCCCAAGTTAATAAAGGGACTAAGCCGAAAAGAAAATGAATGAATGAACATATACTAAATATGGCAAGACGCAGAGCTTATTCAAGTCCTTTTAAAGAACAACCAACAGAGAGAGGCTTTAAATCAATTGTGACCGTAGAATAACCACAGCCAGTTTTATTACTTGATGTATGTACATTGTAAATCTTGAGTGAAATTATGCCACACGTAAAATTACCAAGGCAAAAAGACAGGAATATCACATACACAGTACCTCAACAAAGCCTGGGGTTTGAGCACAGCATCAGACATGCCCTCTGTCTATCCCAACACCTGTCCATTTACCACTTGACCACCTTTCTCGCTCTCGCTCATATAAATACACATTTTTCTTGGCACCACAGGTGAACGCCACACACACACACACAGACACACGCACCTGGTCTCCATCTGTTGTGTCTGCGCTGAAGGCACTGCTCTTATTGGCAGGTACAGAACTGGCTAAAGGTCACAGGATGGTGCTCTTTAATTACATATCTCATTCCATTATGACCTAATTAAAAGCAGAGTTCAGAAGCGTGAGGTGGAGACTCTGGCAGTTTATTTAACACATTTAAGTGATGTTACTGAAAGCATCAGGGCCATTATGTGAGACCTATGCATGTCTCTATGCATGAGTTGAACTAATCAATATACTTGCTGTTGGGTTTAAATGATTATTATTTAAAGAGACACTGCACCAAAAACACACACAAGTCATCCAAATCTTTTTGACTCAGGGTGCTTTTACACTTGGTCCCTCAGCTTTTGTGTGTTTACACTGTCTTTTTTCCTTCTGATCCCTGGTATTCTTACATCATCAAGCTGATGTTTTGTGTACAGCTGTTGCTAGGTAATGGCCACAAAAGCAAAGCACCAAAATGGGGACGTACACATATCACGGTCGTTCTGCTTTTACTGAAACTTTTGGTTCTGTTATCAAAACCAAAATACAGAAAGCCACTTGTATCTATCAGCCGCAAAAAAATAAAAAATAAAATAAAAAAAAATAATTAAAAACGTTCAGAACATCACCTAGTCCACCTGAAAGAGGTGGTCTAGGGTATAGTTCATGCGGACTCTGGTACAATTCACTTTTGATATGAATGCCATCGTACCAGAGTTCGCATGAATCATACCCCAGACCACCTCTTTCAGGCGGACTCGGGTACGATTCACTGGTGCACGCCTGAGTTTAGAAAACATACCGAGCTAAACGTACCATGCTCTGATGTCAAACAAACCCAGGTGCAGATCAAAGGTGCTAGTGTGAAGGGATAGCTAGTGTTTCTGTCTTTTTTTGCTGAACACAAAATAGTTCAATCTTTTTATTTATTTATTTATTTTATAAAATGTTTTATTTATACATTGTGAAACATTACAAAAATTTACAAAGACATAATCATGTAACAATAAGCAAATATACTGAAGAGTATTTTGAGCAAATAGTAATAATAAAAATAAATAAACAATAATAAATAAAAATAAGATAATAAAAATAAATAGATAAATAAAATAAAAAACAACAACACTAGTGCAATCTTATATACATAAAAAACAAGTCTACAATGTGTTGACCAGAAGTAGTTTCCCATAAAAGCTGGGCATTAGGGGGTGGGGACTCAATCAGAAGGAGCAGGGTCAAGCTGGAGAGTTTGGACATATTTGCGGAGGGGTTCCCATAAATTAATAAAAATAGTGCTAGTTCGGTGAAGAGAGTACCTAATTTTTTCTAATTTCATAAAATAAAGAACATTTCTTATCCAACAAGAGTGAGAAGGAGGGTGTGGGCTCTTCCAGTTCAGAAGAATTAATCGCCTAGCCAGAAGAGTTAAGAAAGCTACAAAGTCTTGAGATGGGTAAAGTGTGGTCGGGTGGAAGAACCCCAAATAAACCAATAATTGGACATGGTGGGATATCAACAGTGGTAATAGCTGATAGCGAGAGAATATTTGTCTCCAAAAGGAAAGCAGGGAAGGACAGGACCAAAACATATAAAATAGTTTAATCTTTGGAGAAAGTTTGTCACTAAATAGTTGATGGTAACCATTGACTTTCATGGTATTTCTTCCTATAATGGAAGTCGCAGGTAAATGTTTGAGTATTGACAATTTTTGAAATATCATATTTTAGGTTCGGCAGAAGTAAGAAACAGAAAAAGGTTTGGGTTGGTAATTATTGACAGAATTTTCTATTTTTAATGAACTATCCCTTTAAGGCACAGGTTCCAAACTCAGTTCCAAAAGAGCCGCAGCTCTGCACAGTTTAGTTCCAACTCTAATTAAACACACCTGATCAAACTAATTGAGTCCTTCAGGCTTGTTTGAAACCTACAGGTAAGTGTGTTGGAGCAGGGTTGGAACTAAACTGTGCAGGGCTTCGGCCCTCCAGGAATTGAGTTTGACACCCCTGCTTTAAGAGAGCAGAGAAATTCAGTTAGAGCTATTTTTTTCTCCATCAGTCAGTTTGTTGGTATAGCAAAACTTTTGAAGGTGACTTTAAAAGCTACCATGCATAGATATCAAACTGGTAGGTGGCAAGAAGATTGTCTCCCACACGTTTTCATCCCAGCTGTGTCTCTTTTCCCATTTTATGACACATCCTCTTACTCCTTTTCTCTCTCACCATCTGTAATAGATCAAGCCATTAGTGTTGGTTTATAATATTCCCATTATGTTGCTATTACACTTTTTATGTCGAAATGTGTGTCCTGAAAGAAATCAATTTAAAAGGAGAGTTATGTCAGCAGTCTCTGATAGCGTGCTGGTTCAATAAAATGCAAAAAAAAAAAAAAAAAATCAGTAATGAATGCAAAAAAAACAACAACAATATGATGTTCAAAGTAAGCCTTGTCACACTGGGGAAACTGTTCGATCTGTGCTCAAACCGAGATGAGAATTTCCTGAATATTTTGCTGGTTGTAACAGCTCACTCCCACAGTTTCATCAAAGCAGTGCTTAGCAGGCTTCGTCACCGCAGGTCTCCCAGATAAATGTGTTTGTTTAGCACTGCTCGCTGTTTTAAGGGTCTTGTGCCTGCTGATGATGGACAAGAAGTCAATCAATCTGCTGCCAATGCCATTTAGGACTCCAAAATGTGATAACAAAATATTGTTGGAAGCATTAGACTAGGTTTTAAATTATCCAAAGTAACCTTATTGGAATATGCTCCTTGATATTTTATTTATCGATCACAATAAGAATACGTTTCATATTTTATAGTAGGTTGCTTTAAGGGAATTGAAAGAGATATGAAAGATTTTCAAGACAGGCTCTTTGGAAATGCAAGCTTCAGCCTACATTTTTGTGAAACCACTATAGTTTTTAGGTAAAATAAACATTACCAACTAACAACTTGTGTTCCTTTTCACACTGATGATATTTACAGGGATATATTATTGACGAATAAAGAATTGTTTTCATGCAGCTCTTTGCAAGATCAAATAAACACCACAAAACAACAGTGAAGTGAAGCGGTTCAGAACCTTTCACTAAAGTTTTCCTAAATCTATTGAACAACACCCATGCTAGTCTTAGGACAATTTTGAAAAACGTTTTTTTTTTTTTTTTTTTTTTATCCACTTCCAATGTTGACTTCTGTATCAATCTCCATACAGACAACTTTAGGTGTGGTCAGTTTGCTTGATAGTTCACTGTATAGTGTAAAACAGGTAAAATCAAGGTCAAATTTGTGGATGCATTTTACTTTTTCCTAATGTTTACTTTCAAAATTATTATTAGTTGGGTTAAAGGAAGGTTTTAGGTCAGTATTTTTCTGAAATGTACAACAAATCATACATACAAGTAATGTATTTCAGAGTTGCAAAAATGTACACCACACCCTCTTGTGGATTTGTCTTATGCATGCAACAAATTGTTCTTTGAACAAAGTATTTTACATTTAGCAAAAATGTAAGCTGAGGCACGTAAATAGCAAGAGCTATATAATAAACATAAACATTTTCACACACTACTCTTATTTATGTTTT